TTTTAATTTAATTTTGAAGGCAATTAATAACTTTTGCCAAACTTAGGAAAAAAAATGGACAGGTAGAAAGTGGAAAGAATCCCTACTTGTCTACTTATGGTGAAAGGAATATTGCTTGTTGGGCATGAGCAAAGTAATCCTTATTGCTCATGCAGGCCTAGTGAGAAAAAATAAATAAATAAATAAATAAAATCAGTTAAATGACTTTATTATTTACAATAAATGGCCCCAACTTAATAAAACTCCTTCATTCAATAATAATAAAATAGGAAATAAATATAGAAAAGGAAAAAAAAAAAGAATTGGGATTTGGGCAGAAGTTTTTGTTTTATATAATGATCAATTGAAAATTGAGTGTTGAATGTTAAAAATAGGATTTTTGACTTATATGTTTCCTAAGGAGATCTTTTTTTCTTGGAAATAATTATTGTTACTTTTGGCAATTGTTGAAGTTAAAACGAAGTATCATGTGTATATATTTGGTTGCTTATTATATAGTTCAATGAGACGCATATTTGGTAGACTTTTTGTCCGTGGAATAGCGACTTTTATAATTTTTTGTGTTAGGCTTTCAGTTAGGTTCATAATGAGAATCGGTTGAGAGCATTGTTGTTTTTACTTTTAGTACTTTTTTTTGGGTTTATAGGTTGATTAATGTTAATTTTACTATAACTACAATTTTAGATGAATTTTTTTTTTATATATATATGTTTTACGGAAAATGCTAAGATCCCGTTACGGAATTAGGGATTTGCAACCGTTAAATTATCATGTGACCGTCAAAGATATTTGATATAACGGTTACAAACTCCGACGGAATGGTTTCGTAGTGGACTGTAGCATCTTCCATGTTTACTCCTCACGAATCTGTTTACATGCACTATCTACTTATTCCTTCTTTTTGCGGTTGAAAAAAAAAAAAAGACTATGACGAAAAAATTCTCAAGTCTAAAACTCAGAACCCCAATGGGATTCCCCATTATTTATTGATTAATTTTTCTTTTCCTTAGCTTGTTATAGCTTTTTCAGTGAAAAGATATGAACTAAAAGAAAGTGTACATCTAGAAACCAATAATAGTTAGTTGGGCACGAATATACCACTTATGTTTTTGGGCAACTTCTCCTAAAATCCCTACTTCCTTTTTCATTTTCCT